GATAAACGATGCTCTACTGTATTTACACAAAGGTAATTCCATCCATAATTATCTAATGAATAACAACTATTTAGTACATGAAAGAAAACAAATATAAACATCTTTTAGTTTACAAACTATATTGATAAGTTTTTAAGATAATAAACAGTACATTCATTATTTGAAAAATAAATTGTTATAGAATGATCTGTATAATATCAATGTTTGTAATCATGTGTTCAGACAATGTAACAAATTCCTAAATAACAAAAAAATCAGTTATTCGATTAAAAATGACTCCAATTTAAAATGTTTTTTATTTAATTTAAAGAAAACAAATCTCAACAAATGCTTTCAAAATTTCATTTCTACAAAACATTCCTATTGAAAATATTTTATCAATTCAATAAAATTTAAATTTTGAGTAGCTCCATGAAGAATGCACAATGAAATGAGAAATAATTTTTATTACATATGATACTTTTTACTTTATTGCTAATTCAAATATATCTTAAAATTATAATAATTTTAGACTGAGATGAAAAATTAAAGTACTTATTATGTTAATACTTATTAAATGATTTTATCCATGCAGAATTTTTCTTAAATTGTAATTTTCTATCATTAAATATGAAAATGAATTTTAAAACTCATTCTTTAATATTTCAACATTATAGAGTTATCATAATTAAAAAGTAGGTATTTGGAGCTCTCCATAGAAAAAACTATTGGGAAATCTTAACCAAATTTAGTATACTTATTCTTCCAACTATCAGATTTCAATTTTTGAGAAAAAAATCTTATTTCAAAATTCAGGCATTAGAGAAAAATTTGGCATTGCCATCTCCTTATTGTGCATATTATGTACATTTTCTAACAAATTCCATGTATAAAAAGAGTCACACAACATTCTTCACAATTTTTCAATAGGATAATGATCACAGTGCTCACTGTGCATTTATGCAAGATGGTGCACTCTCACATATTGACTTATATGTGTATGCCCTACTGCAATGACATATTTTGCATGAAAGAATAATTAACCAATCATCTCCAATGATGTGGCTGCTAAATCATCAAATTGAAACAGTGACTTTTGGTTAGGAAAGTACCAAAAGAGTCTTGTTTGTCAAGGTTATGTTTCCAATTTGACTATGCTTAAAAGACAATTTTACAAAGTGTGCAGCAACTTCACATGAATCAGTCACATTCCACTATCAAGTGTGTTGTGCAGCAAATGTACTTTTTATGGCACAGAAATGGAGGACACACGAATTCTGTATCTTTGATTTAATTTTCAATTCCACATCTGTAATTGAAATAAAATTATTGCATTTTGTTTCCTACCTCCTGAAACTCATTAGAAAACAAACATAATATGCACATTAAGGAGACGGTAGCACCAAATTTCACCCTAGCAGCTGAATTTTGAAGCAAGATTTTTCTTTCCAAAAATTGATACCATAAGCTTGGAGCAGCATGTATACTAAATCTGACTGAGGTTAACCCAATAGTTTTTTCCACAAAAAATCCAAACTCCTACTATTCAATTATGATCCTTGAATTTTGAATTAAATTTAATGATTTGAATATTTCCCAAATCTAAAGTACTTCACATGTTTTTATATTATCATTATACTTTTTGATATTTCAAAATCATAATAATAAACAAAATACAAAGAGTATTAAGAAGGATAATGAGTAAGTATAAATGAAAATGCTTGTTAATATGAACAAGGATAACATTAGTGAGTATAAGAAAAGGGAAACATGCAAGCTTTGTGTTTCAATCATCAAAATATTCATTAATAAAAAAATTATATCTTTCAATAACTAATATTTAATTAGTTATTATTATTAAATATTTGATTATTGTATTTAATCCCATGTAAAATTTGTATGAACAAGTAATTTGGAAATAAGATTATGACTATGAAAGCATGTTTAAATAGTAATACAAATAAATCTGAAGGATAAAATCATATAAAATCATAACTTTCTATTAACTTTTATCTAAATCATAAAATAAAAGAAATCTCCTGAAATTAATATTAAAATAACTTCCTTTAAAATATTATCAAATTACTTTTATATTAACATTCTTTAACTTTTAAACATTCCAAATAAAAATCAGAAATTTTCAAAAACACACAAAACTTTATTTCAGCTAGCAAAAAACAAAACAAAACTTCATCTCTTGCTCTCTATATTACATTCACTTACTGTTAAAAAACAAAACTAAAATTAGTTAATAATAAAAATAATAACCCTCCCAATAAAAAAAAATAGTGAAATTTCAAAAATAATGAAAACTAAGTACTATACTGTAGTAACAGTAAAGTACAAAATAGAGAAAAAAAGTCGGAAATTTGTACTATCATCACTTACTTTACTATACAGGGCTGTCCATCCGTCTTGTTTATTTTTAATCTAAAATTTGAAGGAATGCACACCGTCACAATTTAACTATTAATAAATATCTTTAACACTGTCAGTAAAAGGTCCTTTTTCTTTTTTTTTTTTGACTACTGCACCTTATTTATAATCTAATTTTTACCAAATTATATAACCGATAATTTCAAAAAACCCAAAACTAAGAGAGCAAGTCAAAATATATTTTTATATATATTATTTAGTTAAGTAATTTTACAGCATTATACTTACAGTATATTTTGAGCCATAATACATCCCCACCAATCTCTACAATGACAATCAGCTGAAAATTAAAAACAAAAACTCAAATTTAAAAATAACTTTCTTAAACATTAAATTAATTATAAAATTTATTACATTCAGCAATGAAAAAAATAATCCTAGTATCATTTACCTGCTCCATCTCCTTGATCATGACTCATGCCTAAATTATGTCCAAGCATATGGGTAACAGTGCTGGCAACAATGTGAGGTTCATATATATTAGAATCCTATAAAATAATTAATCAAATTAATTTTATTTTTACCATTCATTTCAGAACATTCATCTTTTAAAAAACTCACCTCACTGACACCTACAGCTTTGGCAGTGCAAATAGAGTCGGGTACAGCCATGCCAACCTCATTACCCCTGAAATGTCTACCCCTTTATAAAAAATAAAATCTTCCACATGAAAGCCACTTTTAATTTTAAAAGTAAAAGGTAGGAACACACCACATGTTTTCTGTATAGAAAGGTGTATTTTATGACAGAAAAAGCAATTCATTTACAAACCAAAAGAGGGTTGAAAACAGAGTTCAACATAGACATCTATGTTTCTACAAATAACACAAAGGACTAATGAAACAACAAACATCACATTTTATACAAAAGTCATATACCATACTCGAGCAATCTCCAAGATGTAAACACACAGTAACTTTTCCTGTATTTAATTAAACACATAAGCAAACACTATACATGTTGCCAAAATCCAGCAAGAAAACTACATGAAAGCAAATGTTTTTATCTGTGTTTAATAGGCATCACCAGGCTAACTGATCTTTTCAGTTTGAATGCAGCTATTAAAACAAACAATTTAAACAGAAAAGTTACTTAGAACAGGTGATTGCTGTCCACTTGTTAAAAGAAGGGTGATATAAGAGAGAGGGGAAAGGGAGAGGGTTGTAAGACTAAACTTTGTAGATCAGCTTCCAAGCAGAGGAAAGGAGGGTCATCTCTAGTTGATAGCTGATTTTTTCTTGTGACTTTGTAAACTTCTAATAGTTCTAAACATCTAAGCTAGTTTTTGTGGGAGTACTACATAGGAGGCTTGCTCAGTTGAACTGTACATCTATGTTGGAGTCGGAGACAAAGGTTGCTAATGCAGTGTTGGCTAGCCCTTTCATAATGGACATCCAATATTCTTTGAGATGGATAACAAACAAATGTGTATTATAAATTGTGGTTGGATCTGATCTGTAAAGGGATTAATCAGTCCCAACTATATATGGAAAATCCAGCAACAAGTTGCTTAACTTACTGTAGATACTGCATGTGTAGCACCATATGTTATGGTATTTTATTTTAAAAACTTTTAATATTTTAATTATTATAAAATGGAAAAATGCTTAATTTTGATGGTAGGGATGGGTTTTATAAAAAATTGTAAATGTTAATAATGAGTAAATTGTCATTAAGTCCAACCCCACTTGAGATATGACACATATTCCTTTTTATCTCCCCACCCAGTCAACCTCTAACCATCAAAATTTAATAGTATTAATCCCCTAATACATGAACCAAACTGCAAAATTTCAGAAATTTGACAAAATGCAGAAGTTATAAAGCTTTAAAGAGGGTGAACAAAATCATGCCACCCACACAGAAAACTCCAAATTTTTTTGCATTTCTTGACATTTCAAAGTTCTGAGACCAAAAATGTAAAAATTTGGGAGGGATCATTTTTTGACCAATTGCCATACTTTCCCTCTGTTATACATAACAGTTAGGAAAGTAATAGATGATCAAAACTAGACAAAGTCAAAATTATAAACTGCTAGAAAAATAACTTCTCAAATGACAAGATTTTTCAATTTGTTCAGCACCTCTTGTGGGTTGATGACCATTTGTTTGTATCCAACAAGTCTACTTGTTATAAACATTAAGTGCTTTTTCAATATAAATACAGAGATTTAATTTTGTCCACAATGAGGCGATCAATGATTATGTGTGTATATTTCTGTCCATCTGCACAGAACCTTGCTTTTGCAAACTACAAGATTTCCTCATATGCAACATTGAGAATTCTGCTGAACACATGTCCAACAATCACATCTAATGTGTCACCCTATTTCTTCACATACTACTTACATCAAAAATGAAACACACTTATGGGTAGCCCATTATCAGAAATGTTGTGTGAACTGGTGATTCAATAATTGGAACATTCGATCTTACCTTCTTACAACAGCCAGATTTTATTACATGTGAAATAAGTGGATAACATCTTCATAGTTTGGAGGCAAAAACCAAACACAAAGGACTTTCTACTAAAGTAGAACAACAATTCATACAGACTATTGTTGAGAATGGAGCAAGAGAGTCCCCGCTGATGCACTTTCCTAGTTATCCACATCTCAATTCACCAAGGACAACTGATAACTAAGGTATTCCAAAAAACAGATACAGCCCAATCTATATTCTGGCCACATCCCATGATCTGTTTGCATATACAAGTAAACTAGCTGTGCTTACTGCTCTAATCTGATGAACCTACACACATTGTTCCACTTAAGAAGGTACAAAGAAAGAATTAGCATATATCAAGAACTTAGCGAAGCGAAACACAGTTACTCTGCACATCTAGTTGAACAGATGGTCCTACATTAATACCGACAAGTGGATTGATTACTACTGAAAATGTATCTTATGTAGCAGTTGCATATACAGGACCATGTGTTCTGTCTATAGGAAGATTACTAAATGTTGCATTTAAGGAAGATTACTAAATTGCATTTAAGAAAAGAGCTACAATTTTCTCACTTTTCAGAAATGTATTCTGTAATCTATAATTTTTAATAAAAAGGTATGTTCATACATATTTTTGTTATTATTCTATGATCTTCATGATTTTGCTGTTCTGTAAATTTTTCTGATATTCAAAAGTTTTCCATGACTTCAGAAGGTTAAGAAGCACTGCCTTATACCCTTCAATAAAGCTGCAATCATGCTTCTGTGTTCTTAGGGATCTGTTACTATGGAAAATTGATGTACCTGCTCACAAAAAATAGATCTTAGAACTTGCATACATGATGTGTTACATCTCTTTATTCTAATTTAATAACATCACACCTTTTCAGGTGATCTGTGCAAGTTAGTCATGCATCTATTAGAAGAAAAAGTCATACTTGAATTCATATAGAACATTGCTATCTACAAGAAGAATGCTGAAGACCTGTTTGTCTTTGGGGAATGGAGCCAGAAGTAGATGCATTGTTTACAATGCATGAATAATAACCCATATGGACTAATCCTTAAGTTAGACCAGATAAGTAATACCAGCACACACTTCTTAGATATTAACATTTGTTTCAGCAAGGGCCATACAGAAACTGACATCTGTTACAAACCCAGCTATTTACCATTATTTTATTCCAATAAATTCGGCTGACTGTTCTCCATATAAAATTGCTGCCTCCATGCATTTACAAGACAAGCTGGAAAGACACTATAAAGGAGATAAAACATTTGGAGGACATAGCTGATGTGAGGATCCAAATCCAGACTTTCAATATGTTTATATCATTATCTCCTAACATCACATCGTAGCTATACTCTCGTTAAATACCTCCTTGCCTTTGGATACTTCCTCACATAATATCTAGTTAACTCAGTACTGTGGGAATAAGACTTGTCGTCCAAAACTGTCTTCCTTTCTGTCCAACTGGCTTGCAACAGATCAAGATTTCATACAAGGTATTTATTGCCACGTGCAACTACTGTAAACTCTCTCTCTCTTGAGAGAGAGAGAGAACCACGTGGAGAGAGAGTTCCGTGGTTCTCTCTCTCTCTCTCTCGAGAGAGAACCACGGAACTTTAACCGAAATTTTATGTCCACTTTAATGCCCATTATATATATCTAATATCAATTGTAGCAAATGTATCTAAAATCACGCATATTTGAAATCAATATATAGTATATCCTGTATGGCCGATTAAATGGTTGTTACATTAACCTGTCTCTGTAGAAGTCACTTCCGGTGTGCGGTCTCTCCTTCCATCCCGAATCTGATTGCTCCGTTACGCTATCGTTCATGTGACCTAATTAGCACGGCTTCCATGTCAATCAAGACTCAGTGGTGTCATCCTGACAGGACATCAAAGAGGTGCTGACCCTTCAGTCACACTAAAAAGCATGGATATAGAAGAGACCTGATTTGTAATTTATCTCACACTTACTCTGACACTCCCTATGTAAAAACTTCAGTAACCAAGGAAATTCCAAAAGCAGTCAAACATATAACTCTAAACCCAGGTGTACTGTGATAGAGTATGACCATAATTTACATACTTTGTACAAAGAAAGTGGCGACTTTACAGGTACCAAGTTAGCCTACAAGCAAGTTCACATGTTATACAAAGTACTATGCAACAGAAAAGACAGGGTCAATAAACACTGGGCCCAGGGATGTATACAGTACAGTGTTCTGATGAGGGACAACAGGTTCCAAAGGATATGATGTACTGTACATTGGATCAACTAAGCATTTCATACACAAAAGGTTAAAAGAATATTAGTATGATATTTTGAATAAAAAACATTAAGGAGGGAAAAAGCCTCTTGTATGCTTGGCAATGCTTTTATGAAAAACCGGGAAATACCAACATGAATTAATTATTATTATTTTTTAATATTTTATGTCTTATATTTATGTTTGTTTTAATTTTATACATGTTAAAAATGCTACCAATTCTTTATATACAGTGGTGCCTTTGACTTATTAGTTTAATTCATTCTGTGACAGAACTCTTCCATCTTCTTTTTATTAATCTATGGTTCGTTGCACCAATTAACAGTTGGGTATCTGAAGATGGCTCATAACCCAAACTTTAGCTTTCAATTCAAAGCAAAAAATCGGCCGAGAGATGGCTCATATCTCAAAAAACTTTAAGTTGGGACACACGTAAGTCAAGGTACCACTGTATATAGTGAATATTTTACATCTATGTTTTTGCTTGAATTAAATAAAAAAATGTTTGAAAAGTTGTGTTCTGCACATTCCAATTTCAAATATCATTGTTGACCTGATGCAGATCTCATGTAAGATCAAAAACATTTGTCAATTTTCAAATTAAAGTTGGTTACTGAATATTAAATGTTTTCTTGATTGTGCTTAATTATCAATATTAAAAATACTTTGTGTTTAATTTTTTTCAAAATGTTGTAATTGTTTAAACAGAATTTTATCACCAGTTTTGCTTGTTTTAGTGCTATAACACAGCATCAATTATTTTTAGAATTTTGTCAGCTATAAATGATTTTAATATTCATTTGAACTATTAACATAATTTTCTTTTAACTTGTGATGGAATTTAAAATCTGCATGTAACTTGCATCCCTTTCAAACATATAAGGTGAGTTATCTGCATGAAATCACAGT